GTCATAGACTGCTCCTCAAAATTTAAGGGAGCTAATATGCCTTGTTATAAAAGAAAAAGAAAACAACAGGGAAAAAGAAAAACAACCAAAACACAAATTTAAACAAAACTAAACAAAACAAAACAAAAAAGCAAAACAAAATCAGTTCTTATAATTCTTTCCAGGCAGCACCCCCAGCCCACCCCTCCCCCTCTCGGAGGCATATTATGGATCAATCTCTCTCCCTCCTCAAGCCGATCGGCGATCGCCGTCCCCTTCAAGGTCCAGTATGTGATCCTGCAGTTTTACACAACAGCTCCCGGCCGTCGCTTTCAACCGTAGATCCAGTACGCATCCCGGTCGCCAGCAAAATTATATCCATCCGTCGCTTTGCTGTGACCAGCAAGATCCAACAGTTAATAGACTCGTCACGCTTGCACACGAAGAATTGACTCGAGTACCTTCTCGGGCTCAACACGATCTGCAGAGCACGATGAACGGCTGTGTCCAGACATCATCCACCTTGGCAGTTGGGTCCCAATTGGGTGAGTTGGATGCTTTAAGCCACATTGCGCAATGAGAGTGACGTTGGCTAGGCTTTGATTGAATTGAAATCCCATCGAGCAGAGCCAAGTCCCCGGCCACTCTTCCAAATTTAGTCTCAGAGTCTACTCCTAATGATAATTCCACGGCTTCCCGCAGTCCCATGTAACTCGGAGGTAACTCGGGTCAGCACGCAGTCAACCAAAAGTTTGACTGCTCGCCCGAAAGGGGTTAGCAAGTTAAAGAAGGAAAGGTAAGCAGCAGAGCCTCGCTGTTGCTAACACATTTCCTAAGTAAGGAGAGTTAGGGGAGAGTGAGGAACTTGAATGGAGGACTGCAAGGTTAGGGGTCTCAAAGACCTAGTGGAGTGACCAACCGTTCTATGAGACTCTCGGGATTAACTCGAACACCGGATGAAAGGGCATCTACACCCGAGGGGTGATTCCATATATCGTCAAACATGTACTATGTATAGGCAGTATAGGAATATGTGTTGAAATACGTATTCTGCATGGGACAACAGTTTGCTACAGTGATTTTGGTAAGTTCGAAAAAAATGGCACAACTTCGGTTAACTACCTACCTTTCCTTCTCTCTCTCTCTGTGTGTGTGTGTGTGTGTGTGTGTGTGTGTGGGTGGGTGGGTGGGAATGGATAATATCTCGATTCATCGTTTTATACTAATAACGTCGAGGCTGTCGGTCCAATTCTTTTTCCGCCTGCTCTGTTTCTCACCTTACTCCCATCGTCACTCACTGCAGGCAGTCAGGACTCTCGGTCGCAGCACCGTGACGAGTAATTTCAGCACCAAGACACACTCAACCATCAGATCATGTCAGGTGAAATCATATGGCCTTCCCTCTATCCCCCATATATCGAATCCCTCTAATTGACAGCCAGAGCAGTTCATGCCGTGCAAAATGTGATAAACGCAGCGGCCAGCGGATGCTTCTCTACCAGATCAAAGGATATGCTCATGAGCTCATGAGGCTTCAAATGCCATTCGCCAACTTACGGTTCCATTTCGTTTCAAGATCAGACCGGATCTCCCGATCGGAGTTGATTTGAACTTGCATCAGGATTCAGGAGATGGCACTGCATCAGCTCAGACAACCTCCTAGTTGGATGTCCGATTAGATAGATTGACCGATATGATGAAACAAACATCCACGACCGTTAAGATAGATTGACTGATATGATGAAACAAACATCCACGACCGTTCAGCTGTGTGTGATCAGGTCTGATGAATGATTCAACAAGTTAAGAACCCGGTCTCGGCGGGCACCAAGAATCATTTTTGGCTGTCCGTCGGCGTTGGAAACCGAGAAGACGGTGGGTGGTGACGGAAACACATCCAGTCACAGATCCGCTGAGTAAGGAAGGTTACACCTTAACCTTGCTTTTCCTGAACATCCTCAGCATCCGGTGTGTGACGGCGAACCCTCCCCACACGTTCCCGCTCGCAATAACGATGGCTATGGCGTTCAACGCGATCGATGCAGCATCACGTTTTGGCCAGTGATCGTCGCACAAAGCGTTCGTCTTACACTTGCTCACGGAGAGCATACCCCCGAGAACCACGATTCCACTAATCGCATTTGTGACACTCATCAAGGGTGTGTGCAAAGCGGGCGTCACATTCCACACAAGCAGATAGCCAACCCAAGATCCAAGCAGGAAGACCATTAGCTGCATGATGAGCAGCTCAGGCGCAAAGACGGAGATAACGGCGACAAGGCCGGCAAGGAAAACAAAATACAGGAGGTCACCCATGGAGAGAAGACCGGAGAGCAGTGGAGTTGCCACGAACAGCTGCCATGCGGACGGTCTCTTGGGAGCGGTCGCGGAAGATGCCTCAGCCGCAGGACCAGCACTCGGCTGTTTCGGCGCAGCCGGAGGCGCAGCAGGCTTGGGTGGCGGGAAAGTCACCTGCCCACCATGTGCCACTGTCAAGCCTCTGATTACGTCGTCTTCCATGTTGATCTTGAAGTCTTTCCCGCCACCCATCTCTTGCAATAGATGGAAGATATTTGTCGCATACATCTCTGAAGCTTGAGAAGCCATCCTACTTGCGAGGTCGGTGAACCCAATGATGGTGACCTTGTTGTCATATACATAGGCCTCTCCCGCTCTAGTAACCTCACAGTTGCCGCCAGTCGCTGCTGCCAGGTCGACGATCACAGACCCTTGCCTCATAGCCTCCACGTGGTATTTCTTCAACAACAACGGAGCTCTCCTTCCCGGAATCGCCGCAGTACAGATGACGATGTCCACCTCCCTGGCTTGTTCGAGGAACAACTCCATCTCCTTCGCAATGAACTCCTCCGACATGGGTTTAGCATAGCCTCCTTCTCCCAATCCATCCTCTTCAAATTCCATCATCAGGAACTTCCCGCCCATGCTTTCAATCTGATCTTTGCACTCCAGACGCGTGTCAAAGGCTCGGACTTCCGCACCCATGTTGGACGCCGATCCGATGGCTTGCAGCCCAGCAACTCCGGCGCCAATCACAAGAATCCTGGCAGGAGGGTACTTTCCCGCTGCGGTGATCTCCGGCGTGAAGAACCGTTGATAGTGATACGCAGCTTCCAGGACGGCACGATGACCTGCAATCTTCGCCAGCGAGCTCAAAACATCAAGCTTCTGCGCACGTGTGACACGTGGCACAGCGTCCATAGCCAACAAGGTTACTCCTCTACTGGCCGCAGTCTCCAGCACCTCCTTGCTCTGATATGGATTGACGAGGCACGCCAACCTTTGGCCTGATCTCATCAATGACAAATCAGACTTGTCACCAACGGTGGGGGCGTTGACCTTCACAATGAAGTCCGATTGCTGAAGGATGGTCATTCTCGATTCAATGGCCGCTGCACCTGCTCGTCGATAAGCCTCGTCAGAGAAGCCAGCTCTCGCACCAGCCCCATGCTCGATGACAGTTTCAATACCCAGCCCAAGAAGTTTCTTCACAATTTTGGGGGTGATGCCTACTCTTCTTTCCGTCTCATTGGTCTCCTTGAGCACACCCAGCCTCATGAAGGTCTCCGGGCGCGGCTCGGGCGCAATCTCGTCTTCGTCCACAACCACCCCACCGGCTGCCGTCTTTCCCACCTTGCCTTTCGCAGCAGCACCTCCCTTCCGTCCCTTGGTTTTCGCACGCAAAGCACTGGCAAGGTCGTCGACCGTCTTTTTCGCATCCCCAAGAAGCATCGCATTATTCGGGTGCAAGAAGAGAGGGTTGTCTACGTTGGCATAGCCAACCGCCATGCTGCGCTTCATGACGATCGTGTTCTTCGCCTTCCACACCTCCAGCACCGGCATGCCGGCAATCGGACTATTGGGATCTGTCTGAGCCGCAGGATTAACCGTGTCGTTCGCACCAATGACGAGAACAAGGTCGGTCTTTGGGAAGTCCGGGTTGATCTCGTCCATGGAAAGCACAATATCATATGGCACATTTGCTTCGGCCAACAAGACGTTCATGTGTCCCGGGAGCCGACCAGCCACAGGATGAATTCCGAACCGGACAAGAGTTCCCTGCTCCTCGAGTAGCTTGACGACTTCATAGACGGCATGCTGCGCACGTGCCGCCGCCATCCCATAACCAGGAGTAATGATCACGGACTTCGCATCCATCATCAGATCAACCGTCTGATCAACCGAGATGCGAGTGGCCACACCCTCCACCTTCTTCGCCTTGCCTTTCACACCACTGCCCGTCCCGAAACCACCTACCAAAACATTGTAGAGGCTTCGGTTCATGGCCTTGCACATCACATATGACAGAATGGCACCACTTGCGCCCACAAATGCTCCCGCCACAATCATCAGGTTATTGGACAGCATGAAGCCAGTAAATACGCCCGACCATCCGCTGCCGCTGTTCAGGAGTGCAATCACCACAGGCATGTCCGCTCCACCGATAGCAACGACGAACATAACACCATAGACCGCAGCTATGGCAGTCATGATAAGCAACACGGCGATTCCGGCATCGTCTCCAATGCCTCTCTGAGCTGCCACCACTCCCAAAGCTATCATGGCAGCCCACATGCCAGGTACCACCACCGATCTAAGGGGCACAATGAAGTTTTTGCGAATCCATCCTTCCAATTTCATGACAGCGACCACCGAGCCAGTGAACGTAATCATTCCGACAATGATGCCACAGAGGTAGAAGACAGCCTGAAACACTTGCTCAGATGACCCTTTCCCATGAAGCGCCTGTTTCGCTTGCTCATATCTGTCAACGTACAGGCCGATACCCTCCAGTGAAGCAGCCAACCCTCCAAAGGAATTAAGCAACCCTACCATCTGAGGCATCTGTGTCATCTTCACTTTGAAGCTCATGATAATGGCAAGCACTCCTCCTGGAAACAGAGTTATGGGAACCAACCAGTAACCGATTCCAGAAACACCAGGCGAGGCATAGACCGCGCCAACGCAAGCAGTCATACCAACCATGATGTACAAATTGCCAGCACGGGCAAACTGCGGATGACGGAATCCTCTCAATCCAGAAATGAACAGTGCAGCAGAGATGATATAAATCACTTCCAGCCATCCCACCGACTCCATCTCCACATTGAAATCGAAATCTCGGTTGGTGCTGTTTTTAGTGACCATGGCTTCGACTTTCCCTCTGCTGAGTTGGTCAAAGAGGACACGCCTCCGCCCCTCCATTCCGAACCCATCCATCCCCGCCATTTTCGCTCCCTTTGGAAGATCAACGATTCAGCGCACTTCGCCAGCAGCCTCCACTTTGCCACTCCTCCAACTGTTTAACCACCACTGACCCAAACTCTCTCTCTCTCTCTCTCTCTCTCTCTCTCTCTCTCTCTCTCTCTCTCTGTGTGTGTGTGTGTGTGTGTGTGCCCGTGCTTCTGTGTGCGCGTGTTATGTTTCTTGTAGTGACAGCTTTACTACAAGTCGACAACGGTTCAGACTGTTTAATTGGTCAAATTCAAACATGGGTAATTAGGACAATGTCATTATTAAACAGGCCGAGGACCGCCTATGCTTGTTGATCAGTGACATTCTATATTTTATTCGTGCCTCCTAACATTGACAGGCCTTGGTAATCTAGTAGAAACCATATATGACCATCTGCCAGAAGAAGAGTGAGCTCACTCCTCTGCCTCACACAGACTGCAACTGGAGCTTATCAAGTACTCCCTCTTCAATCCATCGTCAGCCGACACGTTAACTTCGAAAATATTTCTGGAAGGCCACTTCTACTTTCCCTTGGAAAAAGTAGAAATGCCTTCAAGCAATCGTTAGAGTGGCAATGCCAGTCTGGATCCCACGGCAAACAGACGGTGATCACCGTGATCTCGGTCAAGGAGGACAATATTCTCCCATGCCAAGACCATGCATGCCCAGGCAATCGACATCTGCAGCACCTGCAAGAATCATCCAAACAGGAACACACACACACACACACACACACACACACACACACACACACACACACACACACACACACACACACAGAGGACAAGATTAGAAAACACAAAATGAAGGAAATCTTCCTCTTCCTGTTGTCATACCTATTCTTCGACCTTCTCAGCACACTAACACGCCCACACAATCAAACTCCAAGATTTTCTACATCATCGTCGCCCATCTCCCCCTCCACCTGCCTATTTACACGAACACAATCACACACAAACACAATCGCACACACGCACAGATACACACAACCAGACACAACGCAATCGCAAACAAGAACACAATCCCAAACGAACAAGGAGAGAGAGAGGTACTATTTTTACTTGTTTTCGTCCGAATTTGCCACTCCAAGATGTGTGTGTCACACACACACACACACACACACACACACACATACACACACACACACACACACACACACACACACACTGTGAGCGCACACACACACACAAACACACAAACACAAACACACAAACACAAACACAAACACAAACACAAACACACAAACACAAACACAAACACAGAGAGAGGTCCTTTCCATTGCATATGATCCTTCTTAAAACTGGTGTGTGCTCTCAATCTATTATGAGCAGATTTTCACTTTTGAGCAGTACATGCCTTCTACGGCCATCTCCAGTTTTCAGAAACTCTCATCTGTGTCAAAACTTCTGAGAGTCTAGGTTTAAAATCATGATCTCCTAATCACAAACTCCCTCGGGGCATACTCAAACACGGCTTCTTCAAGTTGGGGGCTCATTAGACACTCGTTGCGGCGTCCTCGGGGCCAAAGGAAGTTTCCTTCGGGGGTTTGAAGGAAATTTCTGCTGTCGTTCCACCTATCCTTGGGTTGGTCTCCCAAGTATTATTCCTTTTGGCCCCTGGCGGCCATGTTCGTAGCATTACAGTCGGCCACGGGAGGGGGAGGCAATGCCTTGGTCCATTGGGTGATGTACATCCTGCTACGGTGTGGTCCAGCTGCCGAAGGCGGGAAATTTTGAAAGGCGCTGGCGGAGAGCAAAAAAAAAAACCCTTAAAAAGCAACGGACCTCCCCGTTTGATAATCAAATTTTGAATTGGGTGCTCGACGTCACGACGGCAGGTGGCGTCCAAATTGGCGACGGTGGAAACGGGCATTTGCAGCGGCACAGTGGAGTCCTCGTACGTCGTCACAAACTTGTGAGCGCCCCGCAAAGGTCCATTGCCATTGCCGCCTCCTGCCGCCGTGTGTATGCGTCGTAACAACGTGTAATGCAGACCCAAGTTCGAATCGCCAAGTTCGGCCACTGTTACATCAGACAGTTGACCTGTGTTAGCTCCTTCAAAGAAAAAAAAAAACTTGGCAGACAAGTAGGGGTCTTGCAAGGGTTTAGGAAGGAAGAACAGCTGGCAGTGCTAATTAGGAAGAAAGTAGGAAGAAAAACTCTCTCTTCGAGCTGCTGTGACCCTATCATCCAGGCTCTGTAGTCCTACCCCTACAGCATGCGGCGGTTGTGCTGCTTTTCAAGCTTGTATGTAGAATGCTCCATGGCAGTCCGCGCGCATTAAATTTTGTGTTTTGGATTCTTTTATGGTCATTGACAACTGCAATTGGCATCAATTCGGTAAGTTAACTTAGTTAAGTCATTGTCTTCGACTCTTCATTGGTGTATTTAAGTCAATGTTAATTAAGTTCCTTCATTGACTGTATTGAAGTGTGTATTCACAATTATATATAAATATATATATACCGTCACAAACAGAATACCTCGTTTGTTGTCCTCTTCTCCCTCTCTGCCTACGGTTTACCGGGCAGTTCTATTTGACGATATATATATATTTTCACTATCAACACTATCATCGTATTTTTCTCGGCCTTTAGGCTAAGACAAGTGTAGTATCTGTTGGAAAAAAAAAAAAAAAAACCTAGTACGATCCAGGGACTGTATACCTGCCCCTACAGTGCCTACACCATGAGGGTTGCTATCAGGCCCTGATTAAAAAAAAAAAAAACTAGTACCATCCAGGGACTGTATACCTGCCCCTACAGTGCCTACACCATGAGGGGTGCTATCGTATTTTTCTTGGCCTTTTGGCGAAGACAAGTGTAGTATCTGTTCTGCTCAGTTTAACACATCTGATTTTAAAAAAAAAAAAAAAACCCTAGTACCATCCAGGGACTGTATACCTGCCCCTACTACAGTGCCTACACCATGAGGCGTGCTATCAGGCCCTGAGGCTCCCTTACTCACCTCCTCCCCCTTTGCATACACACACCATTTCTTTTTACACTTTTTGGTATGTGAATATCATTCATTATGGACCCCAATAACCGCTATGTAGGATCCTTCAGGACGTGCGCGTTAGACATGGTCCCTCCACAAACAAGGGGCCCGGCACTCCAGGAAAGGAAAGAAAAGAAAAAAAAAAAAAAAGAACTTTTATATTCAGCCACTACTTTCTTTCTCCTCTTTCTTAGAGTTGTGCTCCTCCTCTTTACTCTGCAGAGTTTCCCCTTTTCAAATGAAGTCCGGCGCATTTCCCCATGATGATGATGAAAAGGGGGGTTCCACCTACCAGCCTTTTTGGGGCTACCGTCTTCCCCCGAACACAACGCACCCTCATTTTGGCTGTATCTGGCTGGAAGTATAACTCATATACATTCATTTTTAGGGTGCGTTATGTTCGGGGGAAGACAGTAGTAACGAGAAGTTCGAAAACAACACCCTGCTGAAAAGAAAATCTGTGTTGAGCTTCTTCATTTCGATTCGGGCCAGGATCATTGTGGTATAATGCGTTTAGAACATACATGCGGCGCATTGCCATGCGCTGCGCGCCGCACCGCGCAGTGCTCACGACGCGCGCGCATGGCATGCGACGCATTGTGAAATCGGGGGGTCACAAAAAAGAAACGAAAGTTTGGGGGGGGGGGGGGGGGGGGGGGGG